GCTATTTAAAACCATGCATCTGACTCATTGAATGTAGTGGATGCAGAACACAAAATGAAGGTACTGGATATGTGGCTGAAATGTACAACAGAAATAAAATACCCCTCGAAAGCTATATGTGATAAAAAAAGAATCGATCATTTTTTTTTGAGGGAACTATGGATTTCAGTTCTCCATTTGTGTAGGCACGAAGGAAAAATATATCGGCCTGATTGAAAGCTTTTTTTTTTGAGGGGTGGTCTGATTGAAAGCTGATCCATTATTTAAAGGTAAAATATATGTTCCAAATTAGATGCAGTGAAGATATACGTAGATTTTACGTTACAGTTGAGACAAAATTGTGTGTGGCCCAGAATGTGTAATAAGCTAGGTCGGAATATTATTTTTGACATAGAGAACAGGATATATCATATGTACCGTATTTGATGCTACATACGATAAGTTTGTAAATACATGATACATTAGAGTTATATACCAATGATGGAGTATGTGCTGCAGACTTAGCGCTGTACTTTCTGAATATGAATGATATGTAGTAAAATAAAGATGGGAAAAAAATAAAAGAATTAAGTAAATAGTCAAAATGAGCAGATTATGCAAGAACAAGGGGAAGGATAAAACTTCCTATTTCATGTATGTAATTTCAGAAGAATATACGAGGATGGGATGCTTAAATTTTAGTAAATAACCCAATTACATTAATGTTATCAGGAGGGTATATCGTGTGGTCAATAGACAGGCTTCCTCTCGTAACGTTTTCTAAGATGAAATTCAGTTAACTTAAATTCTTTACTAAATCTAACTATACTTGGAGAATAAATGTACACATACTGTTGCAAATTTACAGAGAGGGGGCGATACTGAAGAGCCCCGGCTGCGAAGGCCTGGTTGTGGTCCGTCGTGGTGGGTGGAGACGGAGACCGCATGAAGAAGCAAGCAACAGCTGCTAGGTGTGCTGCAAATTGACCTGAACCTGGCACATTGCAAATAATTACAGAATGTTTGTAATGAAAACCAATTGTCCAGTCCAGACCCAAGAATGTAAACTCGTTCAATCAATATTTACAGCTAACCGGAGACCAAACTGGAGGCTCGTCAAAAACTAAGCGCATAAAGAAGTGGAGAAAAAGCCAAAAAAGAAACTGAAGCAGTAGCTTAGATGTTGCCTGTCTCCTCCCATGAACTCACATACCCAGCGATAATGAATCCAAATGCAGACAATGTTGGCCAGATCAACCCGGCGGCAATCACGCACTGCAGCACCGCGGCGCGGCAATCACAACGGCCGGCTCTGCCGTGAGCACCATCCACAGCGCCCGCCCAATACCTAGGGCACCCGCCGCACCTGCCCGGTGACCAACACACGTCGAGACAACGTTGTGATCACCACGCCGTGGAGCAGCACACCGGCATGCTAGCGAGCAAACCACCACACCCTCGAGACCATATGCTGCTGCTCACGAGTCGTCGCTCCCGTGGGTGACTTGCCGCCGAGCAAATCCCCCAATCACGCCGCCGCCCTTGACCTCCTGTTGTTCGCCATCGAGACTCCTCAAGCAGTTCGCAGGTTACGTTGCACCAGATTAAAAAAATACGGGAACATGGGCTAGCTTACAACGTGGATGTAGTGGAGTCCGGTTGGTAAAGTTTTTCTTTTTTTACAGCAGGCTGGTTGGTAATTTTACCTCAGGGAGAGGCACGCATATTACGGTAGATGGCTGGTCGAGGGATGGGGGTGCGATTGTGGCCCATCCAATCTGTTGGCTCGGTCGATTGGCCAGGGTGAGGAATAAGTAATTCCTCACCCTGGGAGTCTAATAGAGTATATATATATATATATGACAAATTTTATCTACAAGCAGTGGTAGTTACCACTTATTTCATTAGCCTCCACGTGTCCCTAAACGTAGGAGCGAGGCAACCGGGTGCGCCAGGTATCGATTGTGGGCAGGACCCTCTAACCCGCTAGTTGCCGTAGTAATTTAAAGTTGGAGAAAGCAATCCCTGCTTTTTAGGTGGGAAGGTACTTATCCTAAAAATAATAATTAATTAGTCAGGTAGTAGCGCACCTCCCGTCAACAACCTTATAATCTTTCGCCTAATCACCCGGCCGGTTGGATGGATAATAGGTTCGTAGCTTATACATCAAGTACGCATTATTCATGCACATTGAGCATGCAGAGTAGGGACATTCCTATAAAAGGCATGCAGAGTATGGAGTATATCCTCTCAAATAAAATAAGAGTATGGAGTAGTTTATAAAAAATGAGTATGTAGTATTCTTTTTAGGAACCGAATATTTAGTATGTAGAGTTTGGTGTATATCTTCTCAAATAAGAAAAGAGTATGAGTATATTGTTTATAGAAAATGAGTATGTAGTATGTTTTTTTTGTTGGGGAACCAAGTATATAGTATGTAGAGTATTGAGTATATCCTTTCAAATAAAAAAATAGTATGAGTATATAGTTTCTACAAAATGAGTATGCGCTATTTTTTTTAAGGAACTGAGTATGTAGTATATAGAGTATGGAGTATATCCTCTCAAATAAATAAAAATAGTATGCGTATATATATTTCGTACTACTCCATAAAAGGAGTGGTAGTATCCTAAAAAAAGGAGTGGTAGTAGTATGAAATATATATGCGCAAGGAGTATGGAGTAGTATACACATACAATGAATATTGTGAACATAATTAACAATACTGTATGTACGTACATCTAGCTGATGCATTTCATCATTACTTAAGAAGTACACATGACGTGTACGTACATGATGCAGATGTGATGTCACACATGCATATCATAGGGAGTAGCTAACATTGATTTATGGTTTTGTGCATGCAGCTCACTAGCTTCTGTCCCGAGCGTGACGATCAGTCCACCGTTAGGAAGATGTCCCTGTGCCTTATAGGAAAGCAAGAAGGCAGCCCATGAACGCCGATGACAAGCTGCCCTGAAGTCATAGCAGGTGTATGTATAGAAAATTGTTGCCGCTATCCGCTATGTTGGAGCAGATGGCAGATGCGTGCAGCCATCCTGATACTGTCCATCTTCATTCCTGGCGTGCACCATGCTGGAGCAGCCGTCTACGCGCATCTGTTCATCGTTAGGCCTGCCACCTTGCCGGAGAAGTTGCACGTAGGGCTAGGCACAAACTTTCATCACCGCCTTCGCCACCGAGTGAAGCAGTTGCCCATTCTTGTTACTGATCATATGTCGCTACCATACCAAGGACGAATCAATAGGTCGTGGGCGTCCACGCTATGTTCCCGTAGTATGGAGTATGAAGTACTCCCTCTATTCCAAAATAGATAACTCAACTTTATACTAACTTTAGTACAAAGTTGGGTCATCTATTTTGAAACGGAGGGAGTATGTATCTATTAAGCAAGTAAAAAAATATGGATTATATGATATATAAAATGAAAGTATGTAGTATATCGATCGTGTGCCGCCCCCAGCGAGTACAAAACACTAGTATAAAGTATGTAGTATGTAGCAGCCAACGAGTATAAAGTACATGTTATACTTCCAGTTGATCATGCATCTGATAGGCATTACACGGTCTAGTGGGTACATCTTGCATGCATACATGATTTCAGCCATGGAACATAGCCGTGCTAGCATTCATATCTACGCGAAAAAAGGATCTCCGTGAAGAACCTCCTCCGGATTATGTCTATTCAATTGAAGCCACCGGCAAGATCTTCATCCACTCAACAAGAAAAGGAGAATTTCACGGAGGGTTTTGGGCACCAATCTTCCTCAAGTTTACGGTGGCGTCGGAGAGTATGAAGACGACGCACGGCCGGCCGATGCTGCAGAGCACAATCTAGAGATGTAGATCTTGCAAAATATCTAAACGATATACCGTGAACAGGGAGCTTGGAGTAGAACGTCGTCATCGCGTCGTGTTGGCAGTTCAGATCTAGGCCGCCGACAGCCACGTACTTTGTCCATGTTGCCGGAGAATCGATCAAGTAGAAGCAACATAACAGAGGCTCAAACCTACAATATGAGAGATCATATCAGTGGTTGATCAATCATGTATGCGTACGTGTGGGATAAGATGAGAAACAACAAGAATTAACATTAATACCTACGTCTCCTCATCTCCTATCGAACAGGGTGTTGACGACTGCTTTTTGAGAAGGGCTCTCTATATCGGAGGTAGTTTTACATCGGCACCCGATGGCCACAAAAATAGGGACGACTAGTAAATCTAATTTCAAAAAAGAAAAACAACCAACTAGCTTCACAGTCCAAACCCGTTAATCAATACCCACTTCGAAACTAGATCTGACGGCAACGGGAGCAGAGGTAACTACCACCTAGTGGTAGGATGTATTTTCCCTATATATATATATATATATATATATATATATATATATATAGACTTTGGAGAATGTTTTCACTGTACTCGAGCGCAGTAACTTTTTCATTCTCCAAACGCATCATATACGTGGTATTTAGCAGACAACACAAATATATTAGTCGTGCTTACCTGAAAACTAGAAAAACCTGGTTTCCCCTACAACCCCTTCCATCGATTTTTCTGAAAACCAAGCGTCAACAGCATAAAGAAGTACACAGATGCTGACCTGCATTCCCAGCAATATTCAGAGGGAAATAATAACCAGTGGCCCATACCATACGGGGCTCTTTTCATTTGGTCATTTTCGACTTGTTCTCTTGGTAGCCTCATCTCCGACAGTTTTTGTTGGTCCTGGCCGAAGGTAATGAAGCTTCTACCATGCAAGCACGAAGTAATTGAGTCAATTATTAAACTAATACAGAATTTATAAGTAAAGATACAAACGTAGACGGGCAGTCTGAATACGATTGATAAGTAGCATTTTTGTTCTGAGACATACGGCAACCATACATCGAGAAGTAGCATAGCCATAAGAACTAAATCTGGATGGCATATATGATAATAGTCATTTAGGCGTTACTACTGAAATTTGGATGACATATATGATAATAGTATCATACGCATTACTTCCACATTGCCATGATAATATCCTTTGTCACTTTCAGTTCAGCGGGCAGGATTGTAGATATCACCTCCTTGAGAAGAGACGGGCAGCTGGATTTCAGATGCTCATACCCATCACTCTTTGCCACCATCGCCTCCAAATTGGAGGGGGTAGCAAGGAATTTCAAACAAGCTTCTTTCAGATGATGAAAACCATGTTGTTCGGCTAAAACCAAACTGGTTGCCACCATGCTGGAATCAATGTGATTGCATAAGTTCTCCTCGCATATCAGCTTTAGCCTGCCAATGTTGTACCTGTCAGCTGCTACGAGCAGATAGCTGGCCATCACCACATCAAGCACTGCTGGAACTGAGTCAGTGTATATGAAATGGAGCAAAGATTCGAACACATCAGGTTCCATGTCACAGATTTCAATAGGACTAGCGGCAGAACTCTCCTGCATGGCCCCGAGGAGCTCCGCCTTGAAGACGGATGACCGAGCAGCAAGGACACACCTATGAGCGGAGAATATCTTTCCGCCAACTTGGAAGGTTAGGTCTGCTGCGTCTCTGTTATACAGGAGGTCCCTGAGATGCCGGTGCAGGTCGCTCGGAGGAACCCTTGATTGTCCGTCGATGTGGGTCTCCTTCATGATTGTGACATCGCACCTGATGGTGAGACAATCGTCTCTCAGGTGTGCCGATCCCTTTAGATCAGCTTTCTTGACAAAGTCTTGGTAGCCCCTGGATGAAACTGCCCTTGAGAAGGTATTTGCATGGCCACGGCTATATGAAGGCACCGGTTCTCCATTCAGGTCAAGCACACTGAACGTGTATTTCGCCTTCACATCTTCGGCATCAACATGTTCAAGAAATAGATAAACAGATATGAAATCGGGGTAGTTCTTACGGCTACCGTTTGGGTAATACCTCACGACAAAGTCGTGGCCGCCAACACCAAAATGGGTAGAAGTCATGCACTCGCCATTCTTGAGTAGCGCCTTGGCTCTCGAGTATCCATCTACCTTGAGCACATATGACACTTCATCAGATTCAACTACAATGGCAGCAGAGATCGTGCGATGCTCTGCCATTCTCTTATGTGAAATGGAGGATCCATCTGTGACCATTGTGGTATCTCGTATTAATAGAATGATAAATGTATGGAAAGAATCCCAATTAGAATTCGTACCATAATGTCCTTCCCTGATTGCATAAGCAAGTATGGAAATGAATAATCGAAAATCTTTTCATTCCTTCTTTTTCGAGAACACCTCGAGAGGGGTAGGGAGTTCCTGCATTTCATTAAGGAAAACCGGACCCAAAAACCTAACATTCTCGGCTAATCAGGGAAAACCCGAATGAAAACCCAAAAAGAAAGAAAAAAGAAAACAAGAAAAAAGAGGCACTAGAACTTGGGGCGGTGACAAGACAAATGCAGCACCGAGGGACATCGCCGGAGCCAGACACCAGAGTACCTAGACCCAGAGCAGGTAGGCGAGGCTCAAGTGCAACCAAACTGACCACCACTCGTGGAAGGGAAACCGTCCATATCGAATGACTCTTCCGTCTCGGCCTCAAAAAATCATGTGCTAACATTATCTTGTGGAAAACGTCCTGAGAGGTCCAACTTTGACTTCCCTACTATCCTCACCAAAGAGCTCAACGCCTCGATCACTTGCGATGAGAGCGGTTTTTTGTACATGTCCAGGTATGCTTGCATCTTTTGCTCTAGACCCTCTGCTTTGCTTACCTCCGACAACTCATCAAACGCCTCCAGCATCCTATACTTTGCGCGCTTGGATGTCGGGATGTTGCAACCTTGTTCTTCTTATCCAGACGTCCGCTCCGCCGCCCGCCATTCTTCTCCCCGTGTGAAGGCACTGGGGTCCCAAGCAGAGGTTGTGGGAGTGGACAAGTAACCTTGCTGAGAAAATCCTGCAGAGATAAAGGTGTCGCTTTAGTTTGTGCCACCTCCGCAACAACATTGCACACTTCAACCATAGGCTCAACCAGAATGTGAGGCGCGTTGAAACCGAGCGGCTCCTCTGGACTCGGCATCAGACGTACAAGGCAGTGCACCACGGAAGGCGAGGATGAGCCTCCAAAGTGTGGCGATCAGAGCGTAGCCTCGGAGCACATAGGATCAACGGATTCCTCACTCTCTACCGACAAAATCCCCATGGGTAAACCACATATCATCGCTCCAAGCAGAGCAGTCCAAAGGACCGATGATGACAGGCAAAACTTGAGAAGAAGGCGCCATTGCTTCATCAAACATAGGATCATTATGCCACGGATCGATGCCCACCGTCCTAGCCGAGAGCATAGCAGCAAGGAGATCCTGCTCAATTGGAGCGTGAGGGAAGATGCTACAGTGCACGTGACCAGCCGAGCAATCTCCAATGGGTGGCGCCAAGAGAGCCTCAGCGTATGAACGGTGCTTAGTAGCATGGCTGATATCAATTTTTTATGTTTCCTGGGTGAACGTTGTTATTGCCGTCCGATCAAGCCGCACAGATCTCGTTGCAGGTTGCCTGCCACGTCATGTCCATATATATATATATATATATATATATATATATATATATATATAGTCGTTCGTTGTGCGGCCGAACCCAACAAATTAAACGAAACGTGCCGCACACAGCACACGCACCCTCTCCCTCTAGTGTCTCTCACCCCCACCCGACTCATTTCCTTCTTCCCCCGCCCCCTCCTCAGCCGTTGACCACTCTCTCCCACAACGGGAGTTCGGCTCGGTTGTAGGGATACATCGCAGAATTACTAGCTCCTTAGCCCTATCTATTGTTGCTGAAGATTCATCAACCTCATCAGGTTGCACTTGCATCCCACTCATTTTTTTTAGCGAGAAACTCTTTCTAGAGAAAGACTTCCTTCTTAGCCGCAAACACTTTGTTATCGGAAGACTGGTAGAAGGAATACCCAACTGTTTTCTTGGGATATAACCTACAAAGTAACGTTGTCAAGTTCTTCATCACGACTCATTCCCGTCTTTACCTTCTCCACTCCACATACACCCTGTCACAGCAAGAACTCAATCCTCAACTTCCAATTTTCCGTCTACCAAAATCACTTTCTCCTCCATATCATCTGGTCCAGAGGAAATCCTCCCGCCGGTTTCTTGCCTGGATTGCGGCAACCGTGTCATCAGCTTCATATCTGTAGGTGGTGGCAATACGAGGCATCATTTTCATTTCTACAAGTGCGTCAGAAAAGATGTAAGCCTCATGGAAAATCTGAAATTAATTCATGTTTTCTTTTCTTTCCGGTGTACATCCATGCCACACTAACCCTGTGAGTCTCTTAATCCCAGGTGGACTCTGTGGATTCTCCAAATCTACAGATACATACCGCAAGCAGCTGATTCGGATATCATCTGGGCAGCAGTACCAACTACCAAGTCGAACAGCCTGCACCTCCTCACTCGCCCGCACATCTGCATCGCAGAGTCCAGCGGGAACAATAATTTGAGGACGGCAAAATGAGTGGCATTTATTTCTTTCCATATTTGATCCCAAAACCCTTCTCCCAAGAATACAGGTTGAAGAAATCATAAGCCTTGCCAAGGGAGTCGAAGTTTGTCCCGAAGTTTGTCCCAAGCACTGGAGTAATAACGCTTCGGTTGGGTTGTCAGTAAAACACCTTACTCCCTTCTTGAAAGCACTCACACAGGACGGGCAGGGTGCCCTGCTGGGGGCAGCGGCACAGATCCTCAACCTGTAGAATTTTCAAGACAATTCTCAGTAAACAACTTTACCTCAACAAATAAGCTGACTTTTATATGACTGAAGTACTAATCCACCCAATGATCCACTCTATGCGAAGTATGATATTTCATTAAGATTCAGTGTTTCATCTCCAGAGTTTCTAACACAGGGCAAACATGCTTACTCAAGTCATTAACTGAGACTCCAAACTCAGACAAAACTAGTACTTGTATATTAATTAATAAAGCAGATAGTCTACAGCAGTTCGGATCAGTATACAGATAATATGAATTCGTAACACAGATACCAGTATTTGAGCATCCTAGCTCACACCAAACTTCTAGTGCCTACTAATTCACAAACAAGACACCAGTTTATAGCAGTTCGGATCAGAGTTCAGATAATATGAACTTTTCCGAAAGATGCTCACCTCTTTCTTACTCCATCCGGGTGCTTGCGACTTCATCTTCCCTCTTGAAAGCTCGGAGGTTTGAGGCGAACTCTCCCACCTCACAGCCACTGCCGCATCTGCCTCCAGGATGCGTGCTTCCGCTCTCACTGCCGACGGAGGCTAGATGGTCCACAAACATTTACAACGCTCCAGTATTCAACAACTAAAGTAATTGGCACACATCCTCCCGCACTAACTTACTCACAGGATATCACGAGCATCTGTGCTCGAGAGAAGAAACTCCGTGTCCCGCAAGCATCTAGTAATGATGTATTAAGGACACATGCAAACTACCATTGTAGTCGGTCGCTACAAAACAGTGCAGCGGTGACAAGCCGTGCGGTCATCAGCGCTTGTCATTTGGTCATGTTCAACTGATTCTCTTGGTATCCTCATGGCTATATTTAGCAAACAACAGAACTACAACATTTGTGCTTAACAGAAAACTACAAAATGTTTTTTCCCCTTTAAAACCAAGTTTTCGAAAACTGAATCTGAACAACCCCCATCAGCATAACAAGTGCACAGCAGCACTACCAGCAATGTTCAGAGGGAAGAAATAACCAATTCCCCGTCACAACTATTAGTAGCTGGCAGAGGATATCAATAGTCAAATGCTTGAGGATTACATGCAGTTTTTTTTGCCTTAGTGCTTAAACTGAATTATACACAGCATCCATAATTTACAGTCAGTTTTTTAGTGCGAAAGTAGGCATGAGTTGAGTGTTAATAAAACCGAACACAATGAAGTAACACAAGCATCTGGTGGTGATGTATCAAAAAGACGCACACAACTCACCGTTGTAGTCAGTCACAACAAAACAGGGCAACGGTGACGAGCAGTAGCATAATCAATCTACTCGCCTGAACATATATTTAGATTGAATGATTAGTACTGGTAGCATTTTTGTTCAGACAATAGTGCCAAACAGATTACTACTAAATTGTCATGATAATATCCTTTGCCGATTTAAATTCTGTCGGGATTATTCTAGCTATCAGCTCCCTCAGAACATACGGGCAGCTAGATTTGAGATGCTCATACCCATCACTTGCTGTCATCGCCTCAAAATTGGACGGAGAAGTAAGGAACTGGAAACAAGCGTCTTTGAGACGACGGAAACCATGCTGCTCGGCTAATGCCAAACTAGTTGCCACCATGTCGGAATCAATGTGACTGCACAATTTCTCCTCGCATATCAGCTTCAACCTCCCGATATTGTACCTGTCAGCCGCCACGAGAAGATGGCCAGCCATCACCACATCAAACTCAGGAGGAACCGAGTCGGTGTATATGAAATGGAGCAATGACTTGAACACATCTGCTTCCATGTCACAGATTTCAATAGGACTAGCAGCAGAACTCTCCTGCATGGCTCCAAAAAGCTCCGCCTTGAAGACAGAAGACCGAGCAGCGAGGACACACCTGTGAGCAGACAATGGCTGCCCGCCGACTTGAAAGGTTACGTCTGCTGCATCCTTGTTCTTGAGCAGGTCACCGAGATGCCGATGCAGATCACTTGGAGGAACACTTGTTTCTTGGGCATGGATGACGGTGATATCGCACCTTAGGGTGAGACAGTCGTCTCTTAGATGCGCCAATGCCTCCAGATCAGCCTTCTTGATGAACTCATGGTAGCCCCAGCTTGTAATTCCCCTTGAGAATGTACGTATAGCGTTGGGGGTACGGCTATATGAAGGCAGCAGTTCTCCATTCTTGCCAAGTACACTGAGCGTGTATTTCGCGTTCACATCTTCCGCACCGGCAGATTGAAGAGCCAGATAAAGGGATATGAAGTCGGTGCAATCCTTAGGGTAACCGTTTGGGTAGTATTCTATGGTCCAGTCGTGGCCTCCAACACTGAAAGGGGCAGAAGTCAGGCCCTCGCCATTCTTGAGTAGCGCCTTGGCTCTTGAGTATCTATCTATCTTGAGCACACACGACTTCTCCTGAGATCCAGCTACAATGGCAGCAGAGATCTTGCAATGCTCTGCCATTCTGGTCGTGGTCTGCAGTAAGATCGATGCCTGGAGGGTGCAAAGATTACCTTGCTGCGTCTATCTATGTATGTTCCTTCTCGCCGCCGCCCGGTGATCTCATCGGAAGCACGGCCGCCGTTGCCCGCTGGCGCTAAGGGATGGGGAGTCAGAGCGCGGGGCGGGGATTGGCGGAGGTGGAGCTCCACGGCGGGTGCTGGTGGCGCCGAGGGAGGAGCGGAGCGCGGGAGCGGGAGCGGAGGGTGTCAGGGGGAGAGACGCGTGGGGAAGAAGAGGGGTGGCGGCGGAGCCGAGAGGGATTGTCGCGTGCTTTCTGCCGGTTGTGAGAAAATCGGAGAGCCAAGATCGGCTAGGGCAGGAAATCGGACGGCTGAGACTACAACGCCCTGAAAAAGTGAAAGCCCCGGTCAAATGAAAACACCTCGACCTAGATGTTGCAAGATGAGCACCCTAAGAGCATCTCCAATAATGGCTGTAAAATAGGGCATCAAAATGTGTGTGAATTAAAATTTTAAAGCGTCAAAAAATAGTTGTTGGCACCATAAAATAGGGCACCCCAAAACAGCAATCTTGACCCGTGAAGGCCATGCCTCGCTATCGTTCTTGTGCTTTGACTTCTTGAGATCCCTCTTCCGGTAGTACTCCATCTCGTACTAGACCAACAAGTACTCTGGGTGTTCCTTGGCAAACCTCACCATCGCCTCCTCATCACTCTCTTGGATGTTGTCCTGCTCCTCGACAACAATGCAGGTCTCCAGCTTCATTGAGTGGGGACTCTATGGTCACCCGCGGACCGACAAGCTCGGCCGCATGCCGGCCCTCGAACTCTGGGAAGTTGCACCTCTCAGACGGCAGGACGAGCCTCCACGCCTTGATGGCGTAGGCGTGGGCAGTAATGTCTGTTGCCGTGAAGGTGTCGAGCCAGTACCGCCGGGCGTCATGCTGGAACTCGACGCCGAGTCAATCGGACGACCACAACCGCATCCCTTGAATCCGGTCTTGCCCTTGCCCTTCGGCATGGCCATTGCGGAGGGTCGACCGGGGATTGATGTCATGAGGATGCGGCGGATGGAGGTGACAACTATGCGGTGGCGGCACGGCGGATTTGACGGTGGCGATGCGGCGGGATGCTGATTTGGTTGGTCCGACGGGCGGCGGCAAAGGGGGTGGGTGGATCCGGTGGTGGTGGGTGCGGCAGAGGTGCGGCGGTCATGAACTTGTAGGGGGCAGTGGTGAAGGAAATATGCCCTAGAGGAACTAATAAAGTTGTTATTTATATTTCCTTATATCATGATAAATGTTTATTATTAATGCTAGAATTGTATTAACCGGAAACTTAGAACATGTGTGAATATATAGACAAACATACTGTCACTAGTATGCCTCTAGTTGGCTAGCTCGTTGAATCAAAGATGGTTAAGTTTCTTAGCCATAGACATGAGTTGTCATTTGATTAACGGGATCACATCATTAGAGAATGATGTGATTGACCTGACCCATTCCGTTAGCTTAGCATTTGATCGTTTAGTATATTGCTATTGCTTTCTTCATGACTTATACATGTTCCTATGACTATGAGATTATGCAACTCCCGAATACCGGAGGAACACTTTGTGTGCTACCAAACGTCACAACGTAATTGGGTAATTATAAAGGTGCTCTACAGGTGTCTCCGATGGTACTTGTTGCATTGGCATAGATCCAGATTAGGATTTGTCACTCCGATTGTCGGAGAGGTATCTCTGGGCCCTCTCGGTAATGCACATCACTATAAGCCTTGCAAACAATGTGACTAATGAGTTAGTTGCGGGATGATGCATTACGGAACGAGTAAAGAGACTTGCCGGTAACGAGATTGAACTAGGTATTGAGATACCAACGATCGAATCTCGGGCAAGTAACATACCGATGACAAAGGGAACAACGTATGTTGTTATGCGGTTTGACCGATAAAAGATCTTCGTAGAATATGTAGGAACCAATATGAGCATCCAGGTTCCGCTATTGGTTATTGACCGGAGATGAGTCTCGGTCATGTCTACATAGTTCTCGAACCCGTAGGGTCCGCACACTTAACATTCGGTGACGATCAGTATTATGAGTTTATGTGTTTTGATGTACCGAAGGTAGTTCGGAGTCCCGGATATGATCACGGACATGACGAGAAGTCTCAAAATGGTCAAGACATAAAGATCGATATATTGGATGACTATATTTGGACATCGGAATTGTTCTGGGTGAGATCGAGCATATACCGGAGCACCGGGGGGTTACCGGAACCCTCCGGGAGGTATATGGGCCTTATTGGGCTTTAGTGGAGAGAGAGAGGAGAGGCCAGGGCAGGCCGCGCCCCCTCCCCCTCTAGTCTGAATTGGACTAGGAAGAGGGGGGCGGCGCCCCCCTTTCCTTCCCCCCTCTCTTCCCCTTCCTTCTCTCTTAGTTCAACTAGGGAAGGGGGGATCCTACTCCCGGTGGGAGTAGGACTCCTCCAGGGCGTGCCATAGAAGGGTCGGCCCTCCCCCTCCTCCACTCCTTCATATACGGGGAGGGGGGCACCCCATAGACACAGAAGTTGATCATTGATCTCTTAGCCGTGTGCGGTGCCCCCCTCCACCATAATCCACCTCGGTCATATCATCGTAGTGCTTAGGCGAAGCCCTGCGCCAGTAGCTTCATCACGACGTCGTGCTGACGAAGCTCTCCCTCGAAGCTCTACTGGATCATGAGTTCGTGGGACGTCGTCGAGCTGAACGTGTGCAGATCGTGGAGGTGCCATACGTTCGGTACTAGGTCTGGTCAATCTTGAAGACGTACGACTACATCAACCGTGTCATAACGCTTCCGCTTACGGTCTACGAGGGTACGTGGACAACACTCTCCCCTCTCGTTGCTATGCATCACCCTGATCTTGTGTGTGCATAGGATTTTTTTTGAAATTATTGCGTTCCCCAACAGTGGCATCCGAGCCAGGTTTATGCGTAGATGTTATATGCACGAGTAGAACACAAGTGAGTTGTGGGCGATAATAGTCATACTGCTTACAAGCATGTCATACTTTAATTCCGCGGTATTGTTGGATGAAGCGGCCCGGACCGACATTACGCGTACGCTTACGCGAGACTGGTTCTACCAACATGCTTCGCACACAGGTGGCTGGCGGGTGTCAGTTTCTCCAACTTTAGTTGAATTGAGTATGGCTACGCCCGGTCCTTGTTGAAGGTTAAAACAACACATACTTGAAGAAAAATCGTTGTGGGTTTGATGCATAGGTAAGAACGGTTCTTGCTCAGCCCGTAGCAGCCACATAAAACTTGCAATATGTCGGGGGTTTGGTGCGACATATGCCAAAGGATGGCTTATCATGGTCGGAGCGAGTAGAACGTCCCCGGTGCCCGGAACCGGGATGAGGCGTAGACATGAACGTCGACGTACTTTACCCAGGTTGGGGGCTCTCCTTGGAGATAATACCCCTACTCCTGCTCTGCGGGGTCTCCGCATGATCAGTATGGCACAAGTGATACAAGTGTGCTCCTTGAGTTGTATGCTAGAGGTAGGAGATGGCAAGGCTAGCCCTCTCCTGCTCTAGTGATCTGGCTAGGTCTAATGGGGTGGGAACCCGTTGCATGGGTGCCCTGGGGGCTTATATAGGCCTACCCCCAGCAGTACAATGGTAATCTGGCCGGCTGCTGGGCCTGGCTGTCAGCGTCTCTGGCCTCCGGCTTCTCCGCCGACTACTGGGGCCCGCCACCTGCGGGCCCCGCCAACTGGTCTGGTACGGAGCCGACAGGCCGCTCATTAAGCCGTGCTGCTAATGACATGGGCTTGGTCAACTCAGCGTGGCTACAGTCCTGCCGCCTGGTGGGAGGTCACTGTAGCCACACCTGGTCTCATCAGGTTAATGGCACCCTTGCTTCGAGGGTGGGGACGGTCGCGTGCTGGAGGCCCGCCCGCCCACGGTCCGACTAATCCGGCATGCGCCGTCTTCTGGGGTGTCACTGCCCGGGAGGGCCCGCAGCCTGCGGGCCGTACCGACAGGCCGTCATGGGGAGCAGGGCTCCGCCTGTCCAGTGTGACGCCAAGGGTAGGTGGCAACAGTGCCACGTCGTGCCGAGATCTCCGTCCGTACGGGGCACTGTGGCCACGCCGAACCCACGATTTGGGGATAAGGGCTTCACTGTAGCCACGCCCCATCACGTCCTCTTGAAGGGGGCACAAATTCTGAGGCCGCGAGGTGGCCGCCTGCTTGACGCCGCCCTCTCTAAAGGCCGGCTGGATGGAGTCGGTTGTTCGCGGTGCCGTCGGCCGGTGGTTGGCCGCCCTCTGGTGGCCGGCTGTTGAGCTAGCCGGCCCCCGGAGGGCGGAGCTTCAGCTTGGGGCTCAGCAAGGCGGAGCTGACCCAAAGTCTTGATAAATCCAGGGACTCAGGTGAGGCTACCCGTGGCCCATTACTCCGACAGTAGTCCCCGAAGCCGGTGAGGCGTTGCGGTCGAGAGGCCGCGAAGTCTCAGCGGCTTCCCTCCCCACCGAGCTCCGGAAAAAA